TAAGCAAGATGGATATGGTGGTGGATTATGGTGGGATAGCCATCATTGATACTAGGGTCCTACTGAGTCCACCAGTCTCAAAGTGAGGAAAATGGGGATGGGCCTCCATTTTATGGCCATTAAAGAAGGAAAATGAGTTTCTCAACCACCAAATTCGGCACACAATTTTGAGATAAACCTCAACAATCCTATTTCCCCACCCAATTTGATGAACCTTCCCCGTGATGAAGAAACCCAATAATGAGTGAACAAAGATTGCTGGATATCTATCTTGGGAGCCCCAACATCAACCAATTGGTGAGTATCTCCCATGTTCAAAGTACCCAGAATACATCAAAATACAACATCAGCCAATCCCCTTCCAACAAGCGCTCAGCTGTCAAATCTCCCGTCCACCTTCTGGTCTTGTACCACTTGCCGCGCCCGGGTCAAGTAGTATGCTGCAAAAAAGCCCAGTTCCCAAACTCGCAACTGTGCGCTCTGGCAGCATTTCATTGTCTCTCGGCTTTGATCCGCCATAGACAGAAAGGACCTGAGCGACGTCAAGGCGAAGCGAAAGACTTTTGAAAAAGCGCACGGAAAAACAAAATACATGTTTGGTCGAAGTCTAACATTATTGAAAGCTTTGCAATTGCCTTCTTATATCTTCTTATAGTGGTTGGTTGTAAGATTACAATAATTCCAATCTTCACTAGTTGGCACAAGCCTACCTATCTGCCTACCCATTCATCCGCTATCTCGGTCTTGTCCTATCCTAGCCTATCCTATCCATCCATTCATCTATTCAGAATATGTACATACGAGTATATATATATATACATATAACACCATATATACAGCCGGTGCTTGTTTAGGTTTCGGTGTCACTGCAGTGGTGCAATACCACTCTGCAAATACGATGTGCGTATATGTATTATAAATATACACATTCTGTGTGTGTGTGTTGGATTTGTTTTAGAATAGGTTTCCCAATTTTGACGGTTTTCCAGAAAACTAGAAACTCGCAAAATCCCTATTCAAACCAATGCCCATAACTGGTGGGGGACCATCCCCAAATTCCAGACAAAGCAATCATTCATAGATTGTTCATTCATAGATTCCATGATATTCCACAAAATATCCCCACATGATGTCCCCATGCTACACCCATGATATACCTATCCAACCAAGTGGGGTGGAAGGGACAATGATGGTGAAGCAGTGAATGGAATGGTTTTTCCCCAACATGTTCAAACGCATATCACCAATGGAAAGAAGACGTCTATCAACATAACTTGCGGTGAATATTATGAAAATCATTCAAGACAATCAATATAAAGATATAGATCATAAATAAATAAACACGTTCCCAATCTTCTTTTCAAGCTTGGGCTGATTAAAATATCCCAATCATTATCCCAATTGGCTATTTTCAGTGTCTATGTTAATTTACCGGAGGCTATCCCCTATTGTTCACCAATCCCTTTTCAGACAAACCCTGCCGTGGCCGGTTTCTTTCAAGTCCTGCCGTGGCTCACTCGCTCCGAAAGATGGACGAATGGACGAAAGGTATTGGGAGCTCCGACAGCGCATGGCACCCTGCACGTGGAAACACCACGGGGCAGTGAACGTGAACAAAAGGAAAGTCCCCCCGCTATGGCAAGAAAACAAGGTGGATGTCACCAACCAAAAACGGTGATATAGCCAGCTAAATGACAAATTTTACCATGGAAAAAAAAACAATGAAAAGGGGATGTAAGCAGCAATCTGGGGTGATTTCACCAGTAATCATGAGGATTCAAGTAGAATTTTGGAGAGAAAACAACCATATAGTATGAGATTTTATACCATCAGGACGTGGTTTCAAGGGGGGGCTATGAAAAAGGCTTGGAAAAAAAATGAGATGCAGCCAGCGCCTGAAGGCCTCAGGTTTTTTCCTCATGGGAGAGCAACATGTGGGGGGTTCCTGAGTCATGGGGGATCCCCAATAGCTGGTTGGTTTATAATGGCAAATCCGAAACTAACATGGATTGGGGGGTACCCCATTTCATCAAACCTCCATGTCATGAAGAGATCTTGAAAAGCCGACCAATGGGAGGTGTTCAAAAGCCTCTGTCGTCTCTTTCAAAAAGGTTGATTGATACAGGTTCCCATGATGGATCAGCGTAGAATTCCCGGAGAAAAAAAAACAGGCGGGCTCGTAAATTCCCATCAAATAAACTCATCAGCTATAATTTCCGCATGATATCCCCACCTGTTTCATAAACTCCTATATTCTATTGTAAATCATGGACAATCATGTTGAATCCCTCACAAAACCTCTCCGGATACTTGATGAAACCCCGAAGGATGAAGCCAAAAAATCCCCGCCCCAGCCTGAGATTTGCGAAATCTTCCTGGCACCTTTCCCAGCTCTCTGCTTCCGCGCTGGAAATGAGCACAGCCCACAGCAGTCGACGACCCATCGGTCAAGCACCATGGGATCCCAGCGAAGCACTCCGATTTTTTGTTGTGTTTTTTT